AGAAGTTGCTGAAGAACCTCCAGGACAAGGACTTGTTTCAGCTGTTTACTATACCTCAAGTGCAGAACCAAGGGGAATTTCTCAGTTCTTGAATTTGGTGACTCCAGGACTGGATGAGACCTTTTCACCCCCTACTTCTGACTCCTTTTCACACAACAAAGAAACCCGGGCTGCAAGGAAGCCCTGATATGTCCTGGCCAGCACAGCTAATGCTGGAGGCTGGGGGGGTCAGATACAGTGCAAAGAACACCTTTGCACTGCAGCCTCCATATAACAGCTCAGAGTACATGAAACACCTCCTGTGTGGGACTTCTTGCTCACTCTCCATATTTTCTGCAAGCTTTCACAAGTTTCCTTGCAGAGAGCCTACTACTACAAGTCACCTCAGCAGGGTTTGGCTGGCATCTTTCTGCTAAAGCAGGGCTTTCTCTGGGGACTGAGCGCTTTTCTTTCAAAGGGAGTTTTATTTAAATAAAGACAACAATCCGGGAAGCAGAAGGAAAAAGCAGTCACTAGAGCAAGCTCCTGCCATCACGCAGCAAGTGCTGCTGTTTAGTACAAGACAGAGCAACATCTAGCGCAGGTTCCAGTTAGCACCAGCACCATGGGGGATACCTTCCACTGGGGCAAGCATCACTGAAAAGGTAGATGGTAAAACTAGCATATCCTGGGCAGGGGAGACCAATAAATCATTCATGAAAAGAATAGGAAGCATCAGAGCCAGGGCAAAGAGAATGCTAATTTGCTTTGCAACCTGATCAAATGGAACAACTGGCCTTGAGGGATGCAGCCATTTTGGGGGTTGATTGCTAGAGTTAATACAGAGCATTAACTTTGCAGCTTTGCTCCAGGCAGAACTTGTCCCAAGTGATCTAAAACTTTCAATGCACTTATTCTATCAGAAGATTTGTGTGTGTGTGACTGCCTAATTAATGAGGTTCTTTTCAATATTAATATGCAGAAAAGTTTACTGCCTTAAAGGTGTGTCAATATATACTTTTTTTTTTTTTTGGTTAAAGAAGTTTGCCTTTGGCTATTCTAAAATATAAAAGCTATTAATTAAAGTATACAGTGCTTTGGGGTGAAAAAAAAAAAAAAAGGGATTGAATTGCTGAAGTCTTTGGGGAAAGCTACTGCAGAATTTAGGCCAAATGTCTCAATAAATTGATATGCTAAAATGAATAACCTGAAGTATTTTAGTACAGATTTTTCACAGGGCTTCACCTACTCCCTCCCACCCATCAAAGAATACTGTCAAGTGATTTCAGCCCAAGTGGAATCAGGAAAAACCAAACGCAGAAACACCTCCCAAACCTGTTGAGTTGCTCCCTACCCTGCTAGGGACCTACAGAGACCCAGGATGCATGGAGCACTTTTTGGGAAAGACATCAGCCCAACACCTCCAACACTCCTGACTGTGTCTGCATTGTATCTCCTCTTGGAGCCAGCTTGCTCACCAGCCCCATGGCCAGCCACATCCTCTGCTCGGTGCTTGCTGAGGCTGCCACAGCCCTGCCATGGAAAAGGGAGAGCCAGCAGGGCACGCAGGTGACACATGCAGACCTCACCCAACCCTCACTCTTCTTCATAGCAAAGTGTAAACCCAACCTCAGAGATGCCCTGTGCCTGAGAGGACAACGCAGATGGAGTAGAAGTTATACTACTGCTTTATATATATGTATATAAATGTAAAATATATATATATTTGAGAAACTGAGGCATGAACACAAGACAATTCTCCAGAGCAATTTCCTAAGGATTTTACTTGCCTAAAGGACTTCAAAAATGATTGTCTCCCAGTGATTTTATTACAGGTTCTACAGGAAGCCTGTGGAAAAGCCAAAGGCCAAGTGCTCTGTACAAAGGCGGTATTTTAACTGGCTGACTACCCTTCCTCCCCAGTGGGTGCCTGTATAAAAAGTTTGCTAAATTAAGCCTGAAATTATCCTTCCTCTTCTTAATTTTCCCAGAGCACATCAGGGTATTCTTTCTATCTGACAAATCCTGCCACCAAATGCCACCAGCCACTGCTTGATGAGCAGAGCACGACTTCATCCTTAAGACCTTAGAGGAGAATAAAACCCCCAGGTGTTTTCCCCTGTCTGCAGTCTGCCTGTACCCCAAGCTGCTGCCTATAGCTGCTACCACAAATGTGCAGAGGAAAAGCAAGAAGGCAAAACCCCTCATTTTATACAACCTGATGGGCTGCTGAGTGAAAACAGCTGATGCCCATGGAGCGATGCTGGAGAAAAGGATGAGCAGCTGGGGCTGGGCAAGCTGTGATGTTAGAAACAGCCTATGCATCCTCTTGTAAGAGGGGGATGCCTGTGAAAATTGTGTGGGTTTCCTAAGCAAAGGCCTTCTGTTCAGTAAACTATTGTTTTTGAAATATAGTATTGGAATTTCATGATGTATTTTAATAGGCAAGAGCTAGTTGGTTGCTATGACATGGTAATAGTAGTGGTAGTAGGGTGTAAATAAGCTTGAGATTGTTTTTGTTTCCTGCTTGGAAAAAATGTGAAAAAAAAGGAAAAAAAAAAAAGGAAAAAATGTGAAATAAGCCTTATTTTCCTAGCTCCGTGTTACTGTGAGGAAGATCTCCATAATATAGGAGATAAGCAGCTGCTCAATGTAGGATCAGTAGAGTCAAAAAAAAAAATCACATGCTTTATAGGTGTTATTTGATCTCTAATAAATACACTGAATATGGGATTTTTGCATGGTGCTTTGATCTCAGTGAAGTGCATTCTAGCCGGGTTGCTGACACCCCTCTAATGAGTGGTGTTGGAGGCCCTACATAAAGAGCAGCTGGTAAAGGTTGGGAGGAAGAATGCAAACTCTGACATCCCTCTTCCAAAGTAGGTCAAGCTCCTCCAAGGGCCCGGCTGCGAGGGCTTCACACAGCTCAGCAGGCTCCTCCTGCAGCAGCAGACACCCGTGCAGGGTGAGGAATCAGTGCCTGTGCTGCTAGGGGCACGGTGATGTGTGAGGCTGCTCCGTGGTTCCTTTGGGCTCTGGCAGACCTAGAGCTGCAAAGGGCTGGGGAGCTGCTATAGCAGATGCCTCGTGCCTGGTACTAACCTGCCCTGGGTTCACCTGCAGAATCCTAAACTGTGTGCAGTGAAGTTTAAAGATGCTCGATCTAGGGGCAGTGCTTAACAGAGAAATGTAGGGATAAAAGCCTCAAACCTTGCAAAGCTTCAGAGGCAGTTATGTGCTGTACCTTTGCCTTACCTACGCAGCTTGGAAGAGCCCCTCTGTGCACAGGCTTTTTAGGACCAGAACATCTCCTAGTGCCAGGTGTAGTGGAGTCCCAGCTCACACTAACTCACAGCCACGGTGCTGCAGTCCTATTGCTAATAAACCAGTTAAAGCCAGAAAGGAGGCCTTTACCTGCTGCCAGCTCCTGTAATAACGTGTCCTAAGTGTGCTTTCTTCTTGCTCTTTCAAGTCATGCACGCACAAGTTACTTTACAAAGTGGTCTCTTGTCTGAGCCTCACAAACTTGTTTTACTTATAATGAGTCTTAGATTCTAGCGAGGACTGCCAGAGGGGAAGCAGTGTTACGCTGTATTGCACCACAGAAACCACCCAACTTAAGTGGATTACTCTTTTTGCCATGGGCTGACTTGCTTATGCAGGTCTGCTTTGTTATCAAGCGTCTGTTACGACACAGGAAAAAGTACTGAAGTGAGCAAGGCCTGTTCTGTCATCTGGATTATCCACTCTGCTTCCCCACGGGAGCTTTAAGGAAAGACTCTTCTGCATGGGCCCAGGAATCCTTGTCCTGGAAGGCCTAACTGTGGGAGAAGAGGCTGATGGCCTCTGTCCTTACAGAGAGCTTGGTGGTGGTCTGGAGCTACTTGAACGATGCTTGTAGTCCTTCAGTTGGCAATGCCTCAGATAAGATGAAGTTGGGTGCTGACCTGCAGGCTGTGAGGATCTGCCAGCTCCTCTCTTGTCAGCTGAGTTAGTGACAGTATTTTTCTTCTGCTTAATTTCACTTTAGAATTCTAAATTTTAGATTAAATTTAGCATGCCTAGATCTCTCGCAGTCAGTCTGCAAGATTCAGCCTGGGATTTGAGGAAGCTCCTTTTAATCCTCTCTTCTGGGTGTGGGTTTTCCCCAAATCTCATTTCCTATTGCAAGTTTGAATGGCCTCTGACTCCAATTAGCCTAACACAATCGAAACAGAGGGCTGAGGTTCAAAGGATGTGTTTCAGTGGCAGTTATCATACCTCAAAGCTGGGCAAAGGAACCCCATCTCCCTCCACACCTCCCTGCCCCTCCAAGAATTGGGATTTTCAATCCTAAAACATAAGCTTTGGTTAAAAGCAGTTTCAGGGTTCTTCTGCTCTCTGGATTTTCACGTTCTCCCCACATCCATGGATGGTGGAAACCTCTTCATTAATGCCAAGACTGGTATATACATGACTCCAAGGTCCACGATTTTAAGAAAAATGCCAGGTATCATGAGACTCCCCATAAAATCATGACAGTTAGCTAGCTGAAAACACAAAGAGAAGTCTTGTACTCTTTCTTTTTCTTTAAAGTTATTCTATTTTGGAGTAAGGAATCCTAGAAAGAAAAAAAGAGCAAAGTGCCCACAAAAGACCCTTGTGTCATGCAACATAATAAAACTGCCAGCTTTGCTCCCCCAAAGAGAGGTAGCCTTTGAAGATGCAGTCCATCAGGCAATACACCAGTCTGCAAAGGTATTGGAAACTTCTTGGCAAAGCCAGGAGCTGCAAGCTGAAAACTCAGCTTGTAAAATGTGAATGATCGAAATGCATCAATTTTAAAGTATGTTCTGTAATGCTTCGGACAAATAAAGGAACCCTTAAAAAGAAAGGGCAAAATCAAATGAGGAATCCAGGCTGTGACTGGTTGTCCTCCAGTAATGTTGAAACCTGGCTAAATTTAGAAAAAGAGGCCCTGAAACTTCTCCTGAACAGAACTAGTGTTTGTACCTTGAAATGATGCTGAGGGTTTCACTTTTCATTACAAGCAGATTACTTGGGTTTCTCAAGGAATTTAAAGCACTCTTAAAAAAAATGTGTAATTTTGTCAGCTGTAAAATGACTGTGGTGGCAACATGTGCTAGGGAGCAGCCCTTGCTCTCCCCATGCAGGGACCTGCAACCATTCACATCCATCAGTGGAACACAGCAGGTGACAGCATGGATGAAAAGCAGGACAGGGTCCTATTTTAATTCCTAGGGCTAACCTCCTCCATTGACCAGGGATGCTCAGAGAGCTGTTAAATTGGCTTTGTTTTGTTTTCATTGACAATAACAATCTTCTCAACATCACAGACCTCTGTGGCCAATTTAATCCCAGTAATGCAGCTCCTCTGAATGCTGGGACCGATCCCGATGAGGTACCGTGGGGCCAGCCCTGCTTTGCAAGGTGCCTCTGCAAGGAAAAGAGCTGTTAACCCGAATTACTTGGCAGCTCCCAGAAATTCTAGCAGGTAATTGTCGCAGGGCAGTCAGTCGCACTTGGCCCCCGTGGCTGCACGAGTTGCTCCAAGAAACTGCAGTAGCTCTGATCACAAATTACTGTGATTTGTCAGCTGTAATACAAGCCCAGCTATGGTTTTGATGCTTTTGCCAGCAACATGTGAAAGAAAATATTTGAGTGAAGCGGTCTAAGTCAGGTTGGGTAAAGAAAATGGGCAGTGGCGGAGGAGCCAACCTGACCTACCCAGATTTATTTCATGCAGTGGTGAAACCAGCCCACTGCCTGGATTTAAGACCAGTGGCTATATTTAATCTGTTTGAATAACTTTGGATGGGTGTTGGGCTTCTTTCCTCTGGAAATTATAATCCAATCCTGCGTACCATGTAAATAATTTAATAACCTCCTGTAATATCTCTCCTCTTGGAGCAATTACACATAACACTGGAAACACAAGCACGTCTCTGACAACAAAAGCATCTTTTGGAGAAGAATTGCCATAGTTAGAAGAGTAAGATTTTATTTTTTTTACAGATGGAGACCAGAGCCACATTGGGTGGGAAGTGGGAACTCCACACTGGTTCCCTTCATAGGTTACTGCTGGAAAACTCAGCATTTTCTGCTTCCAGGTTGGAGTTTTTGAGGTCCACTGAGCTCACCTGGTGAAAAATGTCAGATAATTGCAAATGCAATGGTAGTCACGTTCATTCTAACAGTGTGTATAACTATGACTATATATATATAATTACATAGAGTTATCTAGTTGTATATATGGTTAGGTGTAAATATAGTTACAAATGGGATTTCAATAACCCAGTAATTAAGTAAATTCCTGTTGAAAGTTTTAGACTTGCAGTGAGACCTTGGAGAAAGACAACCACATTTACCCCGGTGCCTCACAAGAGCCCATTGCAGAATTGGGTCCATTTTTTTAACGGACTTCTTTATGAACCTGTGTCCTCCAGTAAGGATCAGAAAGGACGGTGCTTTGGTGTGCATTCATTTGAGCTTTTCTTCCTCCTGAATCTGCATACGCTGTGTGACAAGGAAGCCTGCTGAAGGTTAATTGTTACTCTAGGATATTATGTGCCTTCTCTCTTGTTAATTTTGGGGGCAGGGTGTGGAAAGGAAATCCCTGGTACTTGAACCTTGCTGGAAATATCTGGATGGTTGCTTAAAACAAATGTTTGCCTTACAAGAAAAAAACAGTCCAAAGGTATTTCTCTTTTAAACAAAACTTGCATAAAAAGCCACAGATTTTACCTGCTGCTGTTTGTGTTCCTGTAGCCCTGAGAAGAGGTCTGAGTCAGGAACCTCTGTGACTTTTTTGGGGGTTGTTTTAGCAGAAGCCTCATTCCCTTTACTCTCCACCAATGTCAGAGTCCGTCTGTGGCATAAACCCTTGGTTAAGATCCAAATTACCACCTTAACTCCAAGGACACAAGTGAAATGAGTGAATGGAAGAGATCTTTCACCTTCCAAAACGTTTTTTGTTTGTTTTTGTTTTTGATTCTCCTGGGTAACAGAGAAGCCCATACTGCCTTCACACCTCTTGGGAGGGAAGGGAAGATGAGAAGGCAGGGAGAGGTGCATCCTCCACCAGTACCAAGGGGCCTGGCTGATGCAGGAATTTGATTTTTTATTTGAAGATCCTTGATAGTATTTCCAAGCAAGGGATGGAGCAGAGGATTTACCCAGCCCAGCTGAGATGGATCAGCAAGGCGATTGCAGCTGAGCTCCTAGCCCCAGCTGAGGGTTGTGCAGTGCTGCTGGAGGAGGCAGAGCCATCAGGTTCCCCTTCACTGACTGATGAGCTGCCTGCGAGTGTCTGGCAGGTTCATTTCCAACCCCATCCTTTTAATTCTAGCCCCTCTTTCTTCCACGTGAACCACCAGGGAGTAAATACGTGAGGGTTTCTACCCAATTACACCTCCTTTTAACAGCATTAGGAAAACGAGGAGCTGCTCGATACCTAGCTGAGGTGGAGGGAATATTTAGCATCTAAGAAATGTCCGTGACCTTCTGGATGTAAGGTGGCAGAGCAGCCCATGCTGTGCTACATCTAATATACATATTCATGGCTCGTTTATTCATGAAAGAAATGACTGGATTAGCAATAGTTTGAAGGACACTGATCATGGAGTTGAAATACATGCAAGTTGCTCACAAATTAGAACTCCATCATCTCTGTAATAAATTGGTAACCATTGTAAATCCTTGCATATCGGTGTTGTTATTGGAAATACCATGTTGTATTTTATTGGATTGGAAACATTTCACAGCTATCAACCTGTCAATTATTTTAGCACAACACAAGGTTTTTCATGATGATAGATGGTGATTCTAAATAATTTTTATAAAGTATTTCTACTTACCGTGGTGTCAGGAAGCCTGCCTGCCTGTGAAATATTGTGATTTTTGAAGCACTCACCTGATAACACTCCTTAATTGTGTAACATTAATCTATGTGTCAATCAAATGCTTGCAGACTAATATATGGAATTTTTTTTTCCTTAGATTTCCATAGAGGGGGAAAAATTAAGATCATAGAAAACTCTTGGCAGCATATGAAGGGAGAAGCAATGCCAGACTTGTAACCAATCATGAAAATGCATGTTGTGAAGAATAAAGAAATGATGAACCCTCTTCACTAATGAACTCTACTTTTATTCAGAATGAAGATGTCTTCCAGCAACATGTTTTTTCTTTCTCTTTCTTTCTCCCCACTTCTAACATGCTGAGTAAAAAGAAAAAAGCCCAGTTCTACATGTCTTGAACAGATTCAAACATCTGTGAATAAATAAGTGCTAAACATTAGATACCTCCCATTTAAGTTTCAAAGTCTCTTTCAGAGGATAGTAAATGATATTATTTTGCCTCCCAGAAAGGAAAATTAATTCACAGAGAGGCTGACTTAACTGGGATCACGCAATGAGTGGGAAGCAGAGAGAGCTCTGCTATCCTACAGAGTGCGCTGAGATCCCAAAATATTTGAGAGGTCAAGCAGGCCAAAAGTTATTACTTCTAACATGAAAGTGTTGAGCATTTTTACATTCAGCCAGAAAGGCTGCGAGGGAAGGGGAGCGGTCGCCGTGGGGGAATGGGGCCATGGAAGTGATGGGGACAGCCCCTGGCATGGGTGCAGCTCCCCGCGCAGGAGGAGGCACTCAGGGGAGGCTGGGGCAAGGGGCAGCTGCCTCCTCTTGCAGGGCCACCGTGTCCCCCTCACAACCTGCTGTGGCAGAGCCTTGGAGAAGGGTGCTTCAGACTTTTCTCCTCTATGATCACAGCACAGAGCAAGCTGCTTGCTTTGGTGACACTGCTCCCTAGTCCTTGGTCAGCCTGGGCCATGGCAGAGAGGACTGCCTGTGGTTGTCCCCATCTTCTACTGCACCCTGATCCTTCTCCCAGCCTAAGCCAGCCTGTAATCCTCCTCCAGCTGGAAATAAACCCCATCTCAATTACACACCACACTAGAGCTCTCTCCTGCTGCTGCTGCTGCTCTGGTTTTTATTGCTAGCACCAAGTGAGCTGGGGCCGCAGTCCTGTTCACCTGATTCCTGAGCTTGGTGTGGAATGGGAAAAAAAAAAAATTGTGGGACCCAGTACGGTGCCACAAAACCAAGCCAGCTACAGCACGGGGTGCTGGATTGGAAAGTACACCTGTGTCAGGAGGGTTTCCAGTCCCCATCACAGTGGATTCTGCCCCAGTCCCAAGGGTCTGCATGTGTCAGCACTGACCGCTCCGAACAACCATGGCAGGACTGGACTCGAGGTGGTCCAGGACTTTTCCCTATTTATACACCATGCACCTTTCCAACCATTACACTGATTTTATATGTGCAAGCCTGTTTCAGCAATTAGAGCAAAAATCTTTATAGCTCTTTTGGTTTGAATTGGGTTGGTTTCAAACCCAGGTACTAAAATGGATAAAATTATCTTGAAAAGCTAAGGAATTACACTGTACTCTCAACTCCTCTGCATCATGTTATGAAAGACACAAAGATAATATTTGTATAAATTAAGGCTATTGGAGACGTATGGTATTTCAGTTTCTGCTTCATTAAGTTGTCCTCCAGCCCTGAACATCCCTCGATCTATTCTGCAGCACTTTTCTATTTTAAATTTAATCTACCCTGCTGCAGAATGGAAGCTTAAAAGGATATTGCCTCTTTAAATTAAATGTGGAAAAAAAATAACAATGGTGGAATTCTTGCTGAAGTGAATGCAATCTATTATATAACTTCTAGAATTCATAATATTTTCATGTCTGTTAGCCTCCCTACTAGTTCAGTGGTGTATTTCTTCACTGTTTCACTATGGCCACAATCACTTTTTTTTTTTTTCAGTGATTGTAAAAGACCAGAAGAAACCACTGTGACCACCTAATCTGATTTCATATGTATAATAGACCATAGGACATGTCTGGATTAATTTCTAATTTGATTAAAATTAATCTTGGGAAAATATCCAAACTTTTCCCTACAATTTCCAAGCAATGGAATATCCATTTACAACCCCTCATGAGTTGTTCCAATCCCAGATTATTTTAGACTTATTTTTACAGAGAAGTGCCCTCTGTTTGGAGGCTGGAATTTCATCTTCCTCTGATTTGTAGTTATTGGATCCTTCCTCTGCTTCCTCTGTGGGATCTGTGTGTGTGTGTGTGTTGGTGGTGGCCAACATACCAGGACCAAGACATTTTCACCAGAATGGTCACGACTCTTCTGTGAGCCCTGCTACCAGCCAGGCAATGAGCCAACCAAGCTAGCTGCTAGGAAATAAAGTGATGATTCAAAACAGGTTCTCCTGAGGATTACCCACCTCATACAGCCCTACCTGGGCATCTGCCCTGCTACCACATGTAGAATTTTCTCCCAGAGTTGGGCATCCAAAGGCCTCCTTTTAATCAGAGTCTCATGTTCTGGCTGTCTGCCTGGGTGGGCAAGAGACAGGGATTGGTTTTGCAACAGCACCCAAGGGTGCAAGAACCCATTCCCAAAGATGCCTGGCACCATTGCTTTCTTATTCTGCTCTGCCAAAGCTGTTCTGCTTTGGACAGAATAACTTGTGCCAGAGAGAGGGAAGGGGGCTGCAAACACGCATGTGTAGGTGAATGAGTGGTAGTTTACATATCTGCTTGGTGCATAAATCATGCTGCACATCGGGTAGATTTGGTGGAAGTGCACTGAGAAACCATGAGCCTTCAGCCTGGGAGAGACGGAATACCTTATTTTCATGTATGTGAATGAGACCTGCGTTGGAGACAGGCAGCCAGTTGCTTCTGGCTGTCTCAGGAGCAGAACTTCATGGGCCTGAAGAGCTTTGCTGGTAATACTGCAGGTGCCTCCAGACTGTAGGTTTAAGGAACAGTCTGGTGGGGATTTTGAGCATCTAATCACAAGACTTAATGTTCCCATAATAGGTGTTCAGCTTCTTGTTTGTATCTGGGTCATCAGGTCCTCAAAGGACAGGAGTTGTGTATTGTAAAACATCCTGAAGTTATTGCTCTGCTGGTGGGAGAGAGTTGTTTTGAAGATGGGTAAATTCCTAGAAATAGAATTACCAGAATGGGGATGAAAGAGACACCCAGAGAGGTGGTGGGATCTCCACTCCTGGAGATTTTTCAAGACTTCTCCATCCAAAGCCATGGATGACCTGATCTGATGCTGGCGACAAACCTGTTTTGAGTGGGAGGTTGGATGAATGAGAGACCTCCGGAGCTCCTTTCCAGCCAACATTTCTGTCACGTGGGAGCATGGAGGGATGCAGTCGGGGGGGGAAGGGGGGGTCTGTCATTGCCTGTGTGGAGTCATAGCAGAGTCATCAGCAGGTTCTCTAATGCGAAGCAGCTCCTCCCGCACTCCAGCTATGAGAGAAGGCTCTCGTGGGCGTTCTCAGTGAGAGTGCCCTGGGAAAAAGCAATTGCAGTCTGGGGAGGGGGAATTAAACTGTGTCATTGAGAACAGCGATTAAAGAAGCCAAGTGAGATTTCAAGGAAAAAAAGCATGAATCTATAGGGCACATTAGTTAATTAAAACAGAAGCACCATCTTCAGAAAGATGATGATTTTCATTCACGGGAAGCTTCTGTTTTCTGCTAAAGGCATACTGCACTGGCGACAGTAGCTCAAGACAACCGTGGTTGCTTTTGGAATAAAGCTGTTAGTTCAGAAGAGGAACAAACACACCCCTTCCCTGGAGTCCCAAGTTCTTGGCTGGAGGAGCTTCCAGCCCTGCTGTACTGCATGTTCAGGGTGGAGCAAAGTGATTCAAGCGAAGGCAGATACTGATTATAGTTTAATTGCTTCTGCAATGCCTCTCTTCCTTGTCTTTGCTATCTCCTGGCAGAAGGCATCTCACCCCCATTGGAGGCTGGGGTGAAACTTTAGCCCCGACAAAGTCTGATGGCCAAATTCCCACGGACTCTGTTCTCCCAGGAACATGGCCATGTTTTGTGTGCAATGGGGCCTCCACTCCCTTTCTTCTGCATCCCCTTTGGATCCCAGTTGTGAGCTCACTCTCCATATCATTTGCTGGATCAGCTCAGGCCCATCTGGGAGCTGGGCTGTGCTCCCATAGTGAAGGTCTGTAAAAAGGAGTACATGACGGAGGGACTCAAGTAACCCCTGGGTACATTACTTCTAGAGCCAATCGGTCACGAAGCAAAAGGCTAGAAATAGATTTACTTTCAAAGGCCTAGGATTTTATTTTATTTTTAATTGAAGGGGAGCAGTACTTTTCCCCACTTAATGAAAAAGGCCTTTTCCTTGTCATAACCAAGAAAGGAGGCTGCAGCACTTGGCAAACAAACTTCTATTAAGTGCATTTGCTGGAAATGTTTATACTTTGGTCTTGACAACTATCTTGAATATACTGAGCATTGCACTGTGCTCTAGCTTGCATAATTGTGACATGGGAGCAAAGTCCTTACGGGGGAGGTGATAGGCACTTTCCTTGGGATCTTTTTTTTTTTTTTTAATACCTGCCACTTGTAATCAGAGGCAAGAACTTGTTTTGGAAAGTATTTTCCTGCTCTCCAGGGATTTTCTCTTTCCCTTGGCTGACTTGAGCAGCAGCACGAGAAGAATGAAGGGAGCGAAAAGGAGGGAGGAACTCCTTCAGAGCAGGGAAATCACCACTACCTTCCATGCAGGGTGGCAGATGTTTAACGAGGGGTTCTCTGCCTTCCTCCAAAACTCCCCTTCTGCAGCATGTTGCCTGGAAACCCTCTGCTTCTTCCCCTTTCACATATAATTACTGCAAATTGCTGAAAACTTTATCTAAACTCCTATCAGACAGACAAATCGCTGTTTGATCAGGGCAGATACATGGACCTGAGTGATTCCAAAAGTTAATCTCCACTTGATTTGGGTTTTTGGTGTGGTTTTCTTTCCCTACTGTCAGGATTCAACCCAGTATTTCCCTAGCTGTGTAACAGGAATCTGTGCTCATTCAAAAAGGCCTGGGTTCTCCGATTTTGTATATGAGTAGAAGATAAGAAAGGAGGTAGACAGAGATTAGCATAAGAGACTGGTTAGATGAATATGAATGGGTGCTCTCACTTCGAGGCAAATGGATGGCAGCTCAACAGATGGTGGTTGCTCACCAGCCCCTGCCAAACGCTGCCGGCGTGGGGCTCTCCTTGTGGATGGGTGTCCCCTTTACAGCTTGATTTCCCTTCTGGAAGCCTCCACAGAAAGGCAGCGAAATGTAACCCACATGAGGAAGGAATTACTCTTCGCCCCCAGCCTCTGTCTTTGCGGTCGGAGGCTGGGCTGACGCACCGCGTGGGGAGAGAGCCGGAGGGCAATAACCCGTCATCTCGGTGCCATGCTAATTCCGCGGTTAAATACAAGGGTGTCGCACGGCGCTGGTGCTGCTGCTGGCACGGCTCCCTGACACCGACGGGACACGCACGCAGGTGGGGCTTGGCGGCACTCCGGTTCCCAGCGCCGAACCTACAGCCCATTCCCTACGTGGGGCTGGAGAGGTGAGGGTGCCTTCCAGGGCTGCGACCTCCCCAGGGAGGATGGAAGCACCTCTGGCAGGAAAGAGCAAAATGAAAAGTGTATCTGAAAGCCTCCCTTTCCCACCTACTCATGCAAGGGAGCCAAATGAGAGGAAAGTGGACATGAGGCTGAGTTTTGGATTTTGATTCTGGTTCATTTTTTCTGGAAGAGTTTCATCCAAAGCTGGGAGATGCAAGTTCTGGCCATCGTTTGCAGGCTCCCAGGGAAGGAGCTGGGGTTCTCCAGGACCACTTCAGGTTGGAAGCAGGCTGCATCGTGAAGCTGCCAGGAAGAATTCACTCTGTCTGCAATATGCAGAGCCAGGGTGAAGCAGGGAGCCTAAATCACCCAGATGACTTCTGGAACGATTAGTCTCCCCCAGGTCAAGAATGTAGGCAAACCTGACCCGAGGGCTAGCTGCCCTCTGGGCTTGCTTTTATTATTATTATTTTCCTCTGACAAACGCCTGGCTGCTGCTTCAGCCACTGCCCAGATTTCATTTCCCCTGTGGAGCGCAGGAGCTGCCGAGGCACCAAGGAGTTAACCTGTGCTGGAGGCAGGCAGGGAGCCCACAGCCCCAGACTGCCTTCTCTCCCCTGCTCGTGAGAATCCCTCTTCCCAAACTGCTTCGCACACTCACAGTGCTCACAGTTAACAGGTTGTTTGTCTTGCAGTGGGTCGGAGGGACTCTGTGTAAACCTCCATACAACTGAATTTAATTACCTGCCAAACCTGCACCAGGGCATAAGCCCACATGTTGTATGTGACATTACCAGTAGAGCAAGTACTGGAATGCAGGGGCTAGAATAATTTGACAGCTAACATAAAGCACCGTGATTTATATTTTGGTTATATTGAGATTCTCCCCACCAACCCCCCTCCCTTCCCCCCCCCCCCCCCCCCCCACCTTTGAACACTCATATAAATATTTACTTGGATCCTAGGACCTTGCTTAACCCTCACGGTGCCACATTTTATCTTCTTCCTTTTTTCTTTTTTCTTTTTTTTCTTGGCATTTTTGGTTTTTCAGCAGCTACTCCAGAAATGCCTTTCATTTTCAAACATGGAAGATTTAAAGCAAAAATAATTTCACCTTTAAACTGCCTCATCTGTAAACAATGTGATCCAGTAAGCTTTATATATTTACTGTCATGTTCAATTGAAAACAGATCATGGAGAAAGGTTTCTTTTAAGACACAAGATGTTTAATAGAAACATTGGTTTATATTCTGGAGCAGAGACCAGCTGATACCTCTGCTATGTTTTAAATTTGATCCCAGCTACTCTATCTCATTAATTATTGAGCTGAGTAATGTGAATATAAAATCTGTTTGTTTCAAATTTAAACTTACCTGATTTCAATGCTACCAGGAAAGGGTCCATTTATTTTATGTCACCTCGTGGGTTAAGTCTGCACACAGTAGGACAGAAATCACCCCATGGGAGAAATCTGCTAATACAGAAAATCAGAAAGCCGTAGGTTTTTCTCTTACTGTTATTATCATGATTCCTGTCTGGCTACCTGACTTACGCAGGAGTCACTTAGCCCCAGAGGCTCACAGGTATTCGCTTAATACCCTGCTCTTACGGGTGTCTGGCTTGAGAAAAGAGAGAACCTGGAAATACCCTTCCACAAACATTTTCCGCCGCCATCCTTGCTATGCCCTTTATCCATCTGTGGGTTAACCTGTCGCTCCTCCAAACCAGTGCTGGACCAAATGAATTTGTGCTTTTCCAATCCTTGAGATCAGCATGTGCTCTCGCAGCCCAGTGTAGCGTTACCGCTGCAATACCCAGAATGAAATGCCTGATCCACAGGTCAAGGCTGACATAAAAATAAGGATGGACTGTGTCAAGAGGAGTTTAACAGTCCCATCGTTCTGAGGTCCTGAATGTACCCTGTGTTTCTCTGCTTCAGCATCCACACGGGATAGCTCGGTCCTAGAGCTGATGCTAACATTGCAATAGCACCACCACGACATGTGGAGCTGGATGCCATGCAAGATGGGGGGGGCAGACCGAGGATAAATATAAAAGCTTTACCTTAGAATCACGTAGGTAGAGATTTCAGACTCAAAACCCTTTTGCCTGTAATCTTTGGCCACCTTAAATCAGGGGGAAATGGAGATCCAGCGAGCTGTAAGGGCTGTGTGAGCTCAGAGAGCTGGCTGCAATGTACGTTCCCTTTCTCGTGTTTGCAGAGGCTTTAGGCAATAACTGCACCATGGCGCAGGAGCAAGGAAGAAGCAGTTAGCAGAAGTCCAAGGTGCGGGTTTATTGCCCTTTGTAATTTCTCTTCTGAATGGGTCCCCTGAACCAGCAGGAAAGTTTCTGCTCCGTTCACTGGCAAATGAGACAGGACCCATTAAAAGACAGGATTACAGCGCCCTGCGCTGCCTGCCCCTCCACGCCCCTTGCTGTAGGCGATGCGGTGCCTGCACTGCTGGCTGCAGGAGGAGCACAGCACGGTGGGACCTGTCCCACCAAGCCTGTCCTCGGCCCGTGGTGCCTCAGCTTCCCCACCCAGCTGTCAAAGGGCACAGAGGGGCCTCCTTCCATCGCTTGCCTGAAGTCCTGCAGAAGAAGGACTGAGTAGTGTTTAATTCTCTGCATGCGGTGTCAGATGCTTGGCACGGATTTCTTGCTACACTTATTTCAGAAAAAAATTGCACTGCACACAACGCCCTTGTGACAGTGTTTAATATCCATTATAAAGCCAGGAGCATCTTTCTGGAAACAAATGAAGGCCCATTAGTGAGAAGCCTAGGCTAAAGCAGAACCAGAGCTGTGTTTTATTGGTGGGAGGCTGCGGGATTCGACAGTCAAATACAGGCACAAACTATGCGGTGTATTTGCAACACATATGCGGTGTTGCAATACCGAATTAAAACATCAGAGTTCAGAAATGAACCCATCTCCATATCTGCGCAGACATGACTTAATATCTCTTAGCATCACGGTGAAAACAGGAGCTTGCAGAGAGCGTACGGTTACCAAAATGTGCATCAGAGCTGCACGGTGCCCTTGTCACTGGAGGAGATCTCCCCGGTATAAACCTTCACCCACTGCCTCCAAAACCATGGCAGGAGGAAGGATAAAGAAGTTTGAGATGTTTCTTTAAAGAAAGCACTAAACTTGGTAAAAGGACACATCTTTCCTACCTTGCTCTCTGCCCCTCATGCCTCAGGATATCATAAATTTTTGATACCAATAAAACAGAATATTTGATGAGCTGCTATTTTGCATTAAAGCAACTTTACATGCAAGGGTTGCATAATAGGAAGTAAAATTGAATTTTGCCTCAGAACAAGTTCTTATTATTAATTTAAGTGTTTTTTATATATTTTAGCAGCAGCTTATCATTCTATATATTTAATTTCTTTCAAGTGAGAACACTTAGCATTGGTTTCCTTATCTAAACAAATCCTTTAAAAGAACACATGTATAAAGTGGAAATGCAGTGTTTTGCATCTGTGCCTTAAGACAAACAGTGAAACTTTAAAAGGGGAAATAAAATATGGCAGAGGACAACTATCTCTAAAGCCTAATAGCAGCCTCTGTGGGACAGGAAAACATACTGCTTTCTTTACGTGGAATGCTTTTTTCTCTCTTTGCTGCAATATGTTTATTCCAGCCATATTGTGACAAACCTATGAATAAGATAAGCCCCCACTGGAGCAATTCTGTTTAAGGCAAAGGATTTGCAGTACCTTAGGTCTGGATAACACCGCAGTCTATTTTCTAACACTTCCACACACCGTGATGGGCAGGACCAGCTCACAAATATAAATCGTCTCTCCTCAGTCCTGGATGCAATAGTAGGAAAACATTTTAAAGCACTTCATGCTGTGCTCAGAACTCACTACTCAAAAGTCACCATTTGAAAGTCAAAAAAAGGCAACACTGAATGCTTTTTTTTTTTTTTTTTTCCTTCTTCTCCTTCTTGCATAAAAGAAAAGTCCAGTGTGGGATCCTAGCAGACCACTGCATGCTGCATTACTGCACACGCTATGTGGGATTATGCAATAAGCTATTTAGGGTGTGCTCTGTGCGCCTGTACTGCGTGTAACTTCAGATTCACTCTAACCTTAATGGAGTGAAACATAATGATTTAATAAAGAAGAAAAAAAAAAATTGGTCAAATAAGGAGCAAAATACCCATTTCCCTCTCGATCGTGGGGAATTATTCTTTCTTCAATCCTGCGAAGGAGGAAATCAAAACTTGGCGGGGGGAGAAAGGAAGAAAGAAAAATCCGGGACAGCGCTGCGAGCCGAAGCAGCGGCAGGGAGGGATGCTGGAGGTAGGGAGCTACTCGGGCAGCCCCCACGGTGCTCGGCAGCCCCGCTCCGAGTTCACCTGGCCGAGCCGCGGAGCCCCTCCGGCCCTGCGCAAGGGGCTGCGCGGCCGCGGAGCCAGCGGGGGCTCGGCCGAGCGCTGGTGATGTTTTATCCCCCGTCCCCGAAACCCGACACCCACAGCTCCGAAGAGCTTCCCTGACCTTGGGCTGTCAATCACCGAAAGCGAGCAGCCTGCTATAGAGCCGGACGGGCACTGCGCCAGCTGGGGAGAAAAAAAAAAAAAAAAAAAAAAAAAAGGAAAATTAAATCCTAAAACAGCTGGGAACAGTTATCTCGCAAGCCCTGGCTCATCCTCATCACACATCTCGCCTGCCCACCCCACTGCTCATCCGCCGTACGGCACCAGCGCTCAGCATCTCTGGAAAGTCTTAGAGCGATGCATCTGTCTTTAGTCCAAAAAAAGTCTTTTTAGTCTTAGATTTCTCTGTTTTGGAATTAAAGGCAATCAGTTTTATACACTGCCGTGGAGGGAAGGAGAGAAGGGAATATTTAAAGCAGTCTGTGAAGTGGTTGGCAGAGACAGTCTGTAAGTTTTGTGTCGGTAAATGGGGTGAGGGGGTTGTGTTGCCAATTGTGTTTCCTGTCTGAGTGTCTCGTTTAATTCTGGGAGCAGCCGTAGCCAGTAGTCACCTCTGCCCCGGAGGGGGGATGCAAATCTCTCTACAGCTGTTAGCAATAGCTCTTGCAAAACTGCGAGATCAAACAAAATAATGTGATTTTCACTGAAGGGAATCGTCCTCCTGCACTACACGAGCTCACAACTGAACCGTCCTCCAGCAGCCAGATTTGGCGATGCGATCCTGGAGCTCTCCCCTGCCTCATCCCCAGACGTGGGGGGGCAGCGGCCTCCCCTGGCCGTGCTGCCTCCGGGGGGGCCCGATGGGGTGACCTGAGTGTCGGGGTCTGGTCCTGTCTTGCTGTCACCCCGATCCCAGCCTCCCTGAGGCTGCAGAGAATGAGCTGGGGACCGCTTCTTCTTGCTTGCGTGGGGTATTTTTTTAATATGTATTTTTTTCAGCATCTTCAGCCCCTCCAAGCTGTGTCATTCATGGGCACTGCCGGAGCCCCAGTGCCCAGCTGGAGCCTCCTTCAGAGCCTCGGGGGAGGACAGGCTACGGGGCTGCTGCACATCCCGGGAGAGCAGCAGGCCCCCAGCCCCGGGCAGGGATGTGATGGGGAAAAGTGGCTCTGAGGAGGGACAGACAAAGCAGCACATCCAGTGGGGGTGAGTGGGGGGTGGGAGAAGAGGGGCTTGGGGAGGGAAGCTGCCTCCCAGCCTGCTGCTGACCCCCAGATCCTCTGCAGAGCTCTGGGTGGAGAGCGGGTAGTTGGGGAGCATCCCTCTGGGCCTGGCAAGATGGGGATGTAGAGGGGGAGGGGGTCTCCTTTCCCTTTTGGGGTCAAGAAGCTGCCCTCCATCGTGCTCCCGACTCCTGTGCCAACAGCCCTTCATGAATCAATGTGGAACGGCGAGAGATCATCGGCAAAACGCGCGGACGGCACCGACACGAGAGCAAAGTGGGGCTGGGAGAGGAGTGGGGGAGTCCCCTTTGCTTATGGGGTGCCCGGGGAGGGGAGCAGCCCTGGTCAGCCACACCAGGGCCAAGTGCCGGTAGTCCTTGTTCCCCTCGGTATGTCAGAGACCCTCTCTAATGTCGGGGGAGAAGGGGGGAGGGTGGAACGAGCCCAACCCCCGGGCACACAGGGCAATGCACAGGGCTGGGGGCACAACTCGGAGCTTCCCCTGGGGCCACCCAGCGCCACCAGGTCCCGGAGCCACCAAGCCCCGGCTGTGCCCGTGGCGGTGCTCGGCCGCTTTTGCTTTTCTTTTCTGTCGGAAAAATGAAAAGTCGGGAAGGGCAGAGGCGGCTGCAGCCTCCCTGGCCGGATCCCGGCTGTGCCCCGCCGCCGCCACCGCTCCGCGGGGGGAATCCGGAGGGTTTTTCTAAGGCCTGTTTTCCTATTTTGTTGTTGTTGTTGTTGTTCAATTAGCCCTGGTGATTTATTCAATGCATGCATGAGGGGACATTAATATGCGGTGGCAGTTCCCACAAACAATATTCCTCTCAGGCTCTCTGCAGCCATAGCGCTTACTGGCAAGGGGGGAGGCGATATAGGGAAAGCCAGGCTCCCCGTCCCTTTCCTCCTCGTCCCCCCATTGCAGGGCAGCTTATTCTCCGGGCCTGACCCACGCAGCCAGGGACTGGGACCTGCCCCGGCCCCTCTCAGCCTCCCCGGCCCAGCTGGCTCTGACAAAGCAGGGATACGGCTGGGATTGATGAGGGGATCGGGATTTTAAGTTACTGTATTTGCTTTTTCTTTCTTTTTTTCCCACACTCTGTCCTTAACAGGCTGGTTCCCCAAAGGTGGCTTACACCATGCCTGAAAAAGCAGCTCGCTGCTGTTGGAAAGAGAAGCAGGGCAGGGAGATAATATTTTTGGGGGTTGTGTGGTGCTTTGGGTTTTATTATTTTTTAAGAGGGATTTAAAGTTCAACACAGCTTTGACACCATGAGAGCAGCAGTTCTCGGGCACTCTGCGACCCGGCTCAGGGGCTCCTTTCCCCGCATGGGGGCAAGGAGCAGGGGCTGATTTCTGCCCCCTCCCTGGCTGTGGTTAGGGGAGCTGGGTGGCTTTCGGCCTTGGGAGCTGCTGGGGCTTTGGGGTGCTGCAGAGCCCCAGGGGTGCCAAGGGTAGAGTTGCCCCCATCTCCACATGCATCTAAAGAGTCTTCTAGACTGCATGTTACTCATGCTTAAAAAGAAAATAAAAATAATTAAAACAAAAATAAGGCCAGAATCATTAAAACTTGCAGATGGAGAGGAAGAAAGAGGAAAGTGAATGGCAAGCCCAGATCCCAAAGGAGCAGGGGTAAAGGGGACAGACTTGGCTAAGTCCTCTCCTTTTTTTTTTTTTTTTAAATGTAAAAAGGGGAAAAAAAAAATCACTCAAGTGCTTGCACTTTCCCTTCACTCCCTCCCCGGAGCCACTCAGGCCAGAGGGGCCGCAGCGGGCAGGGATGCAGCCGAGCCCGGCGCGGTGCTCTGCGGGTGGGATGCTGGGGCAAGGCGGGGAGAATGCAGGGGGGGTGCTGGGGGGCAGCAGGGGAAGGAGCCGGGACCCTGCGGGCAGGAGGCAGCAGCGATCCCGAGCCGCCGCAGCAGCTGCGCAAAGCCCCATTTAAAGCCCAGCGGCGGGCGGCTGCCTTGGCTGGACAGCAGTCGGAGGATAGGTTAAGGTCCAACAGTTTTTCTTCCTTCTTTTTTTTTTTTTTTTCCGGAACACGAGACGTCAGAGAAGCAGGTCTCTCCAAGAAATGCCATTTCAATGATTTTAATAAGCAAAATAGGAAACAATTTTAATAACCAAAAACAGAAACCAGTCTGAATAAAACTACAATAGACCAGGTTTTTTAATATTTTTCATATCATAAGCAGGATTTGAAATTGATCCCTTCAGAACTTTACATGAAATAAAAACAATTTTTTTCCGCTGCTGCAATGTTTTGATTTCAACACAGTTGAATCAGTAAAAACCAAAGATCGTTTTCTGATGCATGACTAATATCCACAATATTTAAAACTGCAAGCACCATGCTGTTCATTACAATCTTGTTATTACTGTTAATTTATAAACTAATACAAACTTAAAATGCATCCGGCCAGCAGTGCCAGCTATCCTAAAAGGAAACTAAAAAATAAGTTTTCATTTTGGTATTTTTGTCAGTGCAACGTAAATCCTTTTACTGACCTGCAGGAGGAAAAAAAAAAAAAGTAATAAAAACACCCATAAGACTCCCAACTACTACTACTATACAACTGCAAATAAATTTTGGCTAAAACTTTCACTCGCTGCGTAGGGAAGCAGAGAAGCAGATTACAAATCATTGCAAAAGAATACACTTAAAAGTTGCAGTATGTCTTCTCAAATAAAAGTTTTAGTTTTATATGCTTTTCCAGCCCACTCATCTACTGCTACCATTGAGAAACCTAACTCCATGGGGACACGGACCACTTGCTGCCGTGCGACTTGCCTCGTAACCAGGAGGGTGGCTTTTTCCCTATTTACTGAAAATGCAGGGGCAGCTTTTTCTGAAAAGGAAAATATGTCTCGTCCATCCCTCGTTTCCTGAGTTTACAATCAGAAGGGAGGCTGCATGGCCAGGTCTAACCACTACAGGCTGGGAATCGTCCTGAAGGAAAGAGCTTCGCTGCCACTTTAAGGCATGCAGTAGGCTCTAGTGACTGATGAGAGTTTTTCCCTCTTAAGTTTAGGTTTGTCAATGCCATTCAGGCGTTTTTTCTTCTGCCCCAACAAACAAAAACCAAAATGAAAACTAAAAAAAATACAACTTAAAAGTGCACCAGATATACAAAGTTTTTTTTTCTCCTTTTTTTTTTTTTTTGAATGCAAAATGCCCATAACTTCTTTTTAAGTATCTCTTTAATACCAAACAAACCGTATAACCAGCCTGCTGAAATGTTGTTTTTGTTTTTTGTTTTTCCTGTGCGGTTTGAAGTAGCAGATATTTACAAGCTAACAACCATAAAAGAAAAATAAGAGCAAAACCAACGAACAAAACTGCACAAGCAGTAAAAAGTTTTGATAACTTGTGATGCTTTTCTTATCGATGAAACAAAACAACAACAGAAATCTATGATCGATGATCAACATGCTAAAGTTAAACAAGAAAATGGTACAAAATAGAAATTATTACCATACATGTCCAGCATGCAGGATTAATATTTTTAATGCAGATTTTCGTATTTTTCTATATAATCAAGCAGGCAATAAAACTGATGAGTTTTTCTTTCTTTCCTTTCTTAGATTGAATGTCCCATCTGAGTCCTGTAACTTATTTCTCAAAGCAGGCAATATATGAAGAGTTTGCATATATTGTCCTTTTTATTTATTCTCTTTTTCCAAGCAGGTAAATTGTGCATGAGATGGTGCTGTATATGTCCTCTCTTTCCGAGCAGACAGTATGTTATAGATGGCTTGTTCATTGTCCTTTTTTATTATTATTCTCTTAAAGTCCATCTTGTTCTGCAAGCAAGCGATCTATAAAACGCTTCACTTGTCCTTTCCTCCTTTGCCTCTGCCTCGGTCCCTCTCTCTAACTCACAAACGAAAGTCAAAAAGTTGCACTTTACCTCTCCCGTCCCCACCCCCAGCCTACTTTTCCCACAGCTAATCTAGAAGTTTGGATGCTGCAAAAAAATCAAGTCTCTATTTTTCTCTCCTTCTTTCTCTCTAGTCAAGCAGACAGATGGATGAAGATGTCAGAAGAGGATGGGAGCGGGGGGGAAGGTGATGGGGGTCGGGATTCAGGTGTGGGGTAGGTTTTTTTTGTTTTGTTTTTTAATTATTTTTGTTAAGCACTCACATGAAGAACTCAGGGGAAGACGGGTTGTCACTGGTGGAGCCGGCCTCTCTGAAGCCATTGCTGGCAAGTTTCTCACACTTGAGCTTGTAGGCGTCTCTCTCTCTGGCGAGCCGGGTCACTTCTTGCTTGAGCTGTTCCACCTGCTGAATGAGCTGGGTCTTTTCATTCTCCAGGTGGTGTTTCTGCTGGACACGTTTGTACCTGCAGGACTGGGCATAGCCCCTGTTCTTCAAGGTCCTCCTCTTCTGCTTGAGGCGGATCACCTCGTCTTTGGTGAAGCCTCGGAGGTGCCTGTTGAGCTCCCTCACGGACATGGAGACCAGCTGGTCATCGGAGAACCGGTCTTCCACGCTGCTGGAGGGGGGATGCTGCTGGTGCGAGTTCTGGAGCTGCTGGGAGGAGTTGGAGGAGGTGGAAGGGGTGGGAGAGGCCTGGTGGTGGTGATGATGGTGGTGATGAGGGTGCCCGCTGCCGGCCAGGTCTTCATGAGTGACCGCGGGGTACTGGTGGTGGTGTTGGTGATGGTGATGATGATGATGGTGGTGGGCCCGGAAGCTCTCAAAGCCTTGCAGCTGCTGGGACACCTGGTGGGACCCAATGAGGGCTTCAACCGCGTCCTCCGGGGTGAGGTTCAGCGCCTCGGGGTTCATCTGCTGGTAGCTGTTGGCCATCCAGTACAGGTCCTCCAAGTGGGTCTTCTGCTCGGTAGGGCTGAAGCTGGGCGAGGAGGGCACAGAGCTGCAGGGAGTGCTGATGGGGGTGGACGAGACGGAGCCGGCAGGCTGCAGGCGGGTGCAGTGCCTGCCCGAGCGGTCGTTCCTGCCCAGGGGCTCCTTCTTCACGTCGAACTTCATCAGGTCGAAGTCGTTGACGTACTCCATGGCCAGGGGGCTGGTGGGCAGCTCGGCTCCGATGCTGAGCTCTCCGGCCATCGCTGTCTTGGGGGCACCTCTCCGGGCGGAGGGGGCTGGAGACCTCACTCCAGCGTGCAGCCTGGCAGAGGGCTGCCCGCTCTCCTTTACTCCAAAGAAACTTGGCCTCGGCTTCCTCGCTTTCCTTTCCGCCGCTCCCCCCTCGGCCGCCTCCTTCTCCCGGCTTCTTGGGGCTTCTCGTTTCGGAGCAACAAAGCCCGAGGACGCCCGGCCGCCTGCTGCCTTTCGGTGCGGGCTCGCAGCGCACGGCGGGCTGCGGCAGCTCCTAGCACTCAGCCGCCGGGCTGCACGCCGAAAGGAGCAGCGGCAGCAGCAGGAGGGCAAAAGCAAAGCAAAACAAAGATGCTGCCTCCGGGTCGGCGCTGGAAGAAGGCCGGTGCGCGGCGTCTAACCCGTGCCCCCGTCCGCGGTTTGTAAGTCCGGAGCCTCTCCTCTCCCCGCAGCCGCGGAGCTCCGCAGCCTGCCGCAACTTTCCAGCCCGAGCGCGCTTCGGGCTTTGCACGGGAGTTTTCGGCGGAGCAGGGGAAGGGGAGGAGGGAAGAGGGAGGGGAAGGAAGGAGGAGAAAAAGGCGAAAAAAAAAAAAAAAAGGAGAAAAGGGGGGACGAGGGGAGGGAAAAAAAAAAAAAAAAAAAACAGGGCTCCGCTGGTAGCTGCCGCCTCCAGCGCTCGTTGTGCAGCTGTGCTTCGCAGCGCAGCCCCCCTTGGCTTCTTATACGGCCGTGCCCGCCGACAGCGCGGCGGGGGCCGGGGCCGGCGGCGGCCTCGCCAATGGCAGAGCGGCGGCGGGGCCGGGCCGAGCCGGGCCGGGCCGGGCCGGGCTGGGCCGGGCTGGGCGGCAGCGGCGGGGGCGGCGGGGGCGGGCGGCGCCGTGACAGCTCCGCAGCGCCAGCTGAGCGGCCGCCGCTCCCAGCCCCGCTCCTCCCGGTGCTCCCCCCTCCCGCGCCACCGCCTCTTTTATTTATTTATTCTTATTTATTCTCTTCCCCCCCCACCCCCCCTCCTCTCACCCCTCTCCGTTCAGTTTTCGGCCTCGGCAATCCGCAAAGGAGGAGGGCTCGGGGCCATCCTGCCCGTCCCTTTGTTCTAAATATAACAAAGTCCCTTCGTGCCCGCTGCCGGCCCGGAGCGAATTGCGAGCGGTCAGCTTACCCCCAGCCCCCGCACACGCGGAGCCGCTTCCAACTTTATGGAAACGGCCCCGGTGCGAGGGCAGCGCGGGGAAATGCCCCAAAATGCCCCGAACGCGCCCCGGGTCCGGCCGGCAGCGAGCGCGGGGGCCGCGGGAGGTGCCCGGGGAGATGCGCGGGGAGCGGGGCTCGGCGGGGCTGACAGCTCTGCTCCGACAGCCGGGGAAACCCTCCCGGTGACGGGAAGCAAATCTCTCCCTAAAGTAAAGCAAAGGCATTGACACAGACAATTGCAAATACTGGGGAGAGAAGGGAGAAAATAGAATTACATTTCAGTTCTGAGGGGACCGTGTTTGCTTTCCTCCGCTCTTCCCCGAGTAAGTGACTGCATGCAAACGAGTACTCGACTTGTAAGGTTTTTTGGATTCTTTTTTTTTTTTTTTTTGGTCCGGTAACAGGATTTTCTTCTTTTTTTTTTTTTTTTGAACATTTTGTAACGATTAAGGGAGATTAAGGCTTCTTTTTACACTGTTTTTACGCTCAAACAGACAGAAAGTGCGACCCCAAGTGTCCTTTTGGAGAATAACAGCCACATTTCACGGGGAAAAAAACACCCGGGAAAAAAAAAAAAGGAGCGGGGCTGCGCCCACCCTGCCCGGCCGCTCCGGACCTGCGGCTCCTCAGCATCCCAAATCCCCCCAGTCTAATTTATTTACCTCCCCCTAAAACAAACAAACAAACAAACAGTTTTAAATCCTTTTTCTGTTTAGAAATTAATTAGAAAGGAACTGCCTTTCTGGTGCTGGGACAGAGAAAACGTCGCGAAAGTCCCCAAGCGGAGCCCCCCGGCGGTCCTTCCCTGCCGGACCCGAGGCCGTACGGGGGCGATGCCCGCAGCCTGGCCCCATTTGTCCCGCTGCCCCACAGCCCGGTAGGGAACCGCGGGGGCAAAGCCACGCAAAGTGCTCCCTTCCCCGAAAAGTTGCGGGTGGGACACCGGCAGCGCGATGGAGGGGGGACGTGGGAACCGGGGGTGGGGGTGGAACTGGATAAAATGCCCCTTTTTATTATTATTGCAGGCGCTCCAGGGCTCAGTTTTGTGCGGCAATGCGCGGAAAGGCCGCCTGGCTCTGCATTTTCCTCCCGAGCTTTGGAGGGCATTTAACTCCCGGTACGGCACCGCCTGGGATCGGTGCACGTCGGTGCGCTCCGCACCCGCCGGCAATGCCCACGCGTGATTTTTCTGGGGCTGATTGAGCCCCTCCGGACCCCGATCCCGGCCGAGAAGAGGCTGCCCCCCGGGGAGCAGCAGCCCGCCCTTTGCTGTCTCCTGCTCCTTGAGTGTGCGCGAACACGCGTGGGACACCCCTTGCCGGGACACCCCCCACCTCCCCCGTGCACTCCCCGCCGGTAACGCGTGGGAGCTGCGGGCTCCGCACGGGCACCGCGCCCCTGGGTTCCCAGCGGTGCCAAATCGGGGAAATCGCCGGGTTTTGGCCGGTAACGAGCGGCACGGAGAGGCGGAGAGCTGCGCGGTGCCCCGCCGGGGAGAGGCCGGGGCCGGGCGTGGGGGCAGAGCGGAGAGGGACAGGAGCTGCGTGGTCCCCGTCCCGCAACCGCTGCCTCCCCGGAGGCTGGGGGAGAGCCGGCAGCGTCCCTCGGAGGCCCGCAACAGTTATTATTTATGAGGTCCTGGAAAGTACATGGCGAGAGCTTTATTTTTACCTGCACATTAAACGGTATCGTGGGCAGGGATGTCGCCCAGCAGAGGGAAAGGGGACCCTGGCGAGCGCTCGGGAAGCTCAGAGGCAGCCCTGAAAAAATGTGCCATTAGATGGATAATACTTCTTTTCTTTTTTTTTTTTTTTTCCTGTCATAATTACTGAGGTATATTCACAAGGTGGAGCTACTGAAAGGCGGAGGAAGCATTGATCTGATTATCTCCTTGTCCGTACACACTCTGTCTCTTCTTAATCTTTTAAGCCGTGAATTGCAGACCGGTTCTGCGTGTCCATCATCATAGTCAAAAATTTCGGGGCACTTTCTGGGTCCATTTATTTGCTCTTCCATCCCTCGTTCCCCTCCAGAAAATATATCCCGCAAAACTTGCGGCGTTACACGGCTGGCTAAAAAACGAACCGCTTTGTGCCCGGAATCCCCGCTTAAAGGCCGATTTTGTTTCTTGTAATGTTTTTAATTCAACCAACAAAGGTTATTCTCCCTGGGATTTGTACGTTAGGGGGATCATCCTCCGTCCGATACATTTTATTTTATTTTAATTTTTTAATAAGGACTGGGGAAGAAATAATGTTACTGGAGGAGAAGAAGAGGATTCCTGGGCTGAGCAGCCCGGGCAGAGTTTCCCTTCCTTGGGGCCAAGCCGCCGCACCGCGGGGCCGAGCGGCCGCGGGGATGCGCGCAGAGGGGGCTCCGCGCATCCCCGGCCCTACGCGGCCGCCCGCACCCGAGGGGGCTCCGCGGGGCGAGCGGCTTACAGCGGCGAGTCCCATCTCTCCGTCCCTCCATTCCTCCGTCCCTCCGTCCCTCCGTCCCTCTGTCCCTCCGCTCCCCGCTCCGCACCCGCGGAGGCAGCGCCCCGCCGCTGGTGGCGGGGGACAGGCACCACCTGCCCCAGGTGGTCGTGATTTTTTGGTTAATCGCGACCTACCCCCGACACCCAAAACTCCCTACTCCATGCCACTCGAGCGGCTTTAATTTTTTTTCCTCCTCTCTGTTTTTCAAGATCCGTTTTTGAAGGTTAGTTTCGGACACGGAATGACTTCTCCCCGCTCTCCCTTTTCTCCCCTCGTCCCTTTCGCAAACTCCCGGTCAAAATCAGGAAGAGTTCAAACCAAACGGTAGTGTCATTTCAGATCAGCTCCATCCGGCATGTCCGCCCAGGGCAGGGCAGCGGAGGTCCTTGAGACACTGAAATTTGAAAGCTCGCCCTGAAAACTGGTGCATATAGATGCCTACACGCGTGTGCTTTGGTAGGGCTTCTGCCTAAATTGTAGATTTTACATTTAAATGGGGAATAGCATTACGGTGGCATCCTAATCCCCAATTCCTAGAAATAGCAGATCTAGGTAACTGATAAAAAAATGCAAAGACTCTTCTTTATGTATTTTCCACGCTTCTGGTTCTATGAGAAACGCTCCGCAGTTTTGGTAGCTGACCACTACGTTTTTCCCAGAATTAGCTTTTTCGCCCATAACATTAGTGGGATATGTTGTCTGAAGTGGTAGTTTTGTTAACAAACAAACACAGAAACCGAAATCACCCACGGCTGGCAGCCGGCACTGATGGAGAACAGGGGCATCACTTTTCTAATTCTTACCTCTCCCCTCTTGATTTTTAATTTCGCAAACTGCGGGCAGACACCGTGCTGTTTGTCAGGATATTTTTTTCCCCTGTGTAAGCAGTGAGAGACCTGGTTAATCATCTATCGCAGATACATGTGCATGAGAAAGAAAAGTGTTGATGTTTGCTCGTTCGGGCTGATGGGAATGGCCCACGAATTTAGGATTAAATTACTAATGGCAATCATAAGGCTTTGTTTCCTCTCCCCCTCTCTTTTCTGCTGGGATTGTCAAAGTAAAGCGTGCAACATTCTTTGGACAAAGTCTGCACAGTAGCTTTGCGGTATAAAATAAGCCATTGTACCGTCCTGGGTTAACTGGGACCTCTTCAGATTTTAGCCCGAACCGGTTAGGAGCGGGGCAAATCCCACTGCTAACTTTAGCTTTAGGTTTTCACAGGTGGACCCGTGGGCAGGACGCGGAGCAGCACTTCAGAAGGGTACGTTTCGTGGGGGTGCTTTTTTTTCCCCGAGGCTTCGCAGTGCCCAGCACTAAACCCCCGCCGGGAAGGGGGTTTGGGGAGGGATCGCCGTGTCCGGGAGGAGAATCTGGGTTTTGCTCCGTGCCGGGGGGGTCCCGCAGCATGAGTGCAGCCGGGCGGGAGCCGCGATGCGGGACGGCGCTTTGTAGGGCGTTGATTTGGGGGCAGCACGGCTGCTTAAACCCTCGAGGGTCGCGGCGGGGTGCGGGAGCGGACCTGAAGCCCCCAGCGGGCCCGTGTCCCCCCCTCTCCCCCCCGCAGCTCAGCACCCGGCCCCGGGCTCCCCTCGCCCCGCAGCCGCCGCCGCTGTCGCTGGCTGCCCCCGTCCGAGCATCGCTGGAGAGGCTGGGGAGCAACTCCTGCAGTGTGGGTGGGGGGTGGCATCGCTCTGCCCCCCTCCCCAGACATCCCCTAGAGCCTCCCAGCCCTCCAGCTGCTCCGGGTGGGGGTGCCCCGGAGGGCTGGGGAGGGGGGGTTCGGGGGGATGCAGGAAACAGGGAGCGGGGAACCCCGGGGTCTGTGGGGGGCTGCAGAGGGTGCAGGGGTGCCTTGTTTCCCTCCTTTCTGAGCTCTTGCTCAGTGCAGCCCCTCGCTGGCACCCTCTGCAGTTTGCTCGGGGTCTGGCTGCAGAGGG